CAGACTGGACTGGCCATTTCTCGGGGAGTTCAGGAACGTGTATGAGGGTGGGAATGGAGGTTGAACACCTCTCCACTCCAAGATGCCAAGCCATTAAGCTGGCCGGCAAAAACAGGCCTTACATTTTGGCTTCTCACTTGACAGGACATCTCAAAGGACTATGGGTTTTGAGATATTCTGTTACTACAGAAAGGGACATTCGCCACCTTTTTAACTCCTAAAACTCCAGAACAGGCCAGGTGGTTGAGTAAACAAATTAACAGGTTGGAATGTCTTAAACTTTAAATTCTTCATGAGCACAAAGGAGTAGATACATCTAAAGTTGTCTAAAGGAGTGTGTTGCCTGGAAGTCATGAAGATGTTGGTAATTGCACAATGCACCTCCTCCCTGGTTTTCCTGGGAAGGAAACAGTGCCCTTCACTATAGGGTGAGTTTTTGGGCATCTCCACATTCATCTTAGTGCTTGGGGCTGCCACAGGCCATGATGGCTGAAGGACACATGAAGGTCACAGCTGGCCCCAGGGGATGCCGAAGGCCGTACAGACCAAAGCCAGTCGTGAAAACCACGTCCCCCTAATCCTCCACGTTGCAGGGCAGCCACAGTCGCGACGTCTCTCCAGGTTCTGTGACTCACTGACACCGTAGCAATGCAGGGATGGAGGAAACACCTCTCTGGGCTTTCTTTTTTATGTGTCTAGGTCTTAGGAATCAAAATCCCCCGGCGCCTGAGCTGTCCCAGAGGCAGCCTGGAGACCGCACCAGGCGGCGACGCATTTGCTGTCCATGCCTGGGTCTTTCTTGGTGCCAGGACGCTCCGTGGCTGCATCACGTGGCCGAGCCGCCGGCCCAGGCCTTTCCAGCCACCCCGGGCTCCGGCCCGAGAGCGACCAGCGGGGCCGGGAGAGGCATCGGGGAGGGCGGGGCGTGGGCTCTGCTCGGCTGGACGGAATCCGCAGACCCGGGGAGTGATGGGCCCCCGCGCGTGGTCTCGCGGCCGTGGGGCACCACTCTATGGAACCACTGCCCTGCGGGTCCCCGGACACGGATGGTCGGGGACGCCGTGTCAACGCTGACGAAACCGTGCCCCGTGTGAACACAGCCTGTTTCCTGGCACCTGGGGAGGAGCCGTGCACACCTCCGGAGTTGCTGCCATCGCGTGTGAGTGTGGACGCGTCTCCCCAGCTGAGCTGTTAGCTCTGTCTCTACGGTCACTCAGGGCTCCTGCATTTATGGAGCTTCCTGGCCCTCGTCCTGTTTGCCCCACACAACCTCTACGTGCTTTACTGGCCTTTTAACGTTACCATCTCTCGGATGGCCGGTCTGTGGACATTTGTAAGTCAATCTCTCCCTCTTCCCTGTGTGCAATGTCTCCATTGTTTTTATGAGACAGATCCCCCACCGGACGTCAGATGGCCATTCCTCTTTGTTATCATTTTCATGGATTGATTTTTTTTTTAACACTTAACTCTTTAATAGATCTGGGATTTATTTTTGTGTGAAATGTAGGGAGGAAATTTGTTTTCTGCTGTAACTTAACAGTTCCTTGGAAATTTAAATGTAAGATCTTTTTCTAATTTTTTCACTAGGCTTTTTAAGGCCTTTGGTTTCCATTACCAACACAGAATTCAGATATATGACTAAACAGTCTTCCTCACGCCAAACGGATCTAAGACAATGGTAAGATCAATCCTATTTAGAGGATTTTTAGATGCTCTGAACCAGTGTTGAAGACTAAGCCTTGCGAGGAGATACTAGGTGGGTGCAGGAATGCGGTGGCCCCTTTCTTTAGCTACTCTGCTTCCCCGGATCTTGTCGGGGGACGGTGGATGGAGCAGAGACTTCTCCCAGAGGAGCACGCACCTCAGGGGACAGAAGACTGCCGTCCCGTGGCCCTGTCAGTGTGGCCCACTCCGCTGAGGTAAAGACACCTCAGGAGGCTAGCCAGATGCAGCGATGAGCTCCTCGCTGTGAGGAGGCAGCCCAGGCCTGGGACATGGTGACAGGTGTAGGTCCACACAGCAGGTGGCTTAGAAAGGCTTCTAACTGCATTAGGAGGGACAGTCACTCACGGGATGTGCCCACAGCTGATTGCTCTGCCCTCCCCGCGGTGTCTCTCCTGCTTCCCCAGACCCCGTCCCGGCTCCCCCACATACGGAGAGGCCTCCGGGGGCACCCCTCACTGCCGTCTCTGCACACGGCTCCCCAATTCTTACTCGCTGGCGGCAGTCAGCAGCTTTGCCTGGTCGTGCCGCACGGAGGAGAGCGACACAGAGTGGACAGGGAGTGGGCAGGAAGAGAAAGAAACTCCAGGCCAGGCGGGGAGAGCTGTGCCTTCACCGTCCAGAGGTCCCATTTCTGAGGAGCAGGGGGACAACCCTGTCCCGAGGTCAGCGTCCCCTGGCCTCACGAGGAGCCCATGCTCTGCCTTTGGCACCTGCATCTCTGCATCCTGCAGTCTGCCTTCTGTTTACATGGAAGACAGAGAGGACACTGAGCAAAGCCTAGCTCACCCGACGGTGACTCACAAATGAGAAACAGGAAGGCAAGACTAAAGTCTGCACCACAACCTCCTAAAAGGCTTGCACGCAATGACCACGCCCACAGAGGGGAACAGGATCTGAAACTCGGGGCTCAGGGCTCAGCGATGCGAGGCTGCATTAACTAAAACGCCCAGCGACCGGCTTCACTGTGAGCGCCATGCTCCACTCAGTTCCTGGGGCGACGGTCCCCACACGCGGCTCTTGCTCACAGCTCGTTTCCAGCCAACGCCACTTTGTGTCTCCTTTGTGTCCCAAGGGTGTGTGTTCTCCTCGAGGCTGGAGTCTGTTTCCAGCAGGGACGGTGCACCCCACCCCGGCGGGCCGCGCCCCCAACCGGCCTGGCCTGGAGCACCGCTTCTCTCTGCAGCAAGCCTCGTCTGCTCTCCGTGAATGCAGGGCACATTGTGTTTATCTGTTCATCGTTGACAGGCGCTCGGGTTCTTTCCACCTGTGGGCTGTTGTGAGTAATGTGGCTGTGAAAATGGGTGTGCAGGGACCTGTGTGAGTTCCCGTCTTCAGTTCTTTGGGATGTAAACTAGGAGTGGAATTGCTGGGTCACATAGCAGTTCTGTGTTTAACTTTTGAGGAGCAGCCACTTTGTTTTCCAGAGACTGCGCCATCCTACATTCGACCAGCTCTGCACAAGTGTTCTGATTGCTTGCTCCATCCTCCCCAATGCTTGTCATTCCCCTTTATTTATTACAGCCATTCTTTGGGAAGCATTTCCCAAATAAAACTTTAAAAGTATGTATCACAAAGCCAAAATAGGGATGGATTAAATGCCTTGTCCAGTAATGCAATATTTATACTGGTCCCTGGTAGGAATATTGGAGGAGATTTTCTCCCTCTGCTCACATGGGGTGGTACAAAGTCATTGCCCTTGGTGAGTCAATTTGCTTGTGGGAATCTTGGGGTTATTCTTATTCTCAAGCAGTGATCCTATTTGGCTTGTTTATTTTTGCCTTAAAACTAATTCCATCTATATTCTCAGATGGCTACATTTTGGCCAATGTCAGCATCAAAAAGAATAATGATGTAATTGGTTAAAACACACTAATTTTTTTAAAAATCCCTAATGCCTACTTATCCTCAGGGACAGAGAGAAGCAATCTTCCTCTTGATTTCCAGTTCGTCAGAAATGAGAAGATCCTGGGCACCTGGGTGGCTCAGTTGGTTAAGCGACTGCCTTCGGCTCAGGTCGTGATCCTGGAGTGCCTGGATCGAGTCCCACATCAGGCTCCCTGCTCGGCGGGGAGTCTGCTTCTCCCTCTGACCCTCTTCCCTCTTGTGCTGTCTCTCATTCTCTCTCTCAAATAAATAAATAAAATCTTTAAAAAAAAAAAAAGAAAGAAATGAGAAGATCCCCATTTTGCAGCCCTAAATGACTCAAGCAAGGATCATTCATATGCATATGCTAACACTCTTGGATGAAGGAGTATTAGGGGCCCACAGCTCACTTGTTTTAGAAGAAAATGCTTTATGACCCGGTAATTTCTTTAACAAGAATGGCATCACCTTCTCTATCAAATACCACCCTGTAGGTTACTTATTACTTACAAAGGGACATGCCGGTCCTTACAGTAAGAGACTGATGACTTGGCACTTTAATCACATCACCAAATTTAGCATCACCTAGAGAGGGTCCCGCAGCACAGCTCACCTGCTGCAATCAGAGGTACAGAGCATCACCATTTGCTGAAAATGCTTAACCTCCATCTTATAAAGCCTCCAGACCTAACTTCAGTTTGCAAGAAATAAAGAAGTTAGAGCCACCAGTTAAGCAACAATCAGACAAACCCAGAATATGGAACAATCTACAAGAAACTGGCCTGGCCTGACCAAAAAGTCCACAAAATATGAAGAAGAAAACAACAACAACAACAACAACAACAACAAAACCCAAACTGTGGGACCATTCTATTCTAGAATAAAGAAATATAACAACCAAACGTAATGTGTGAACCTTGACTGGCTCCCACATTGGGAAAACTAACAGCTGTAAATGACATGGTGGGGGGTGTTGACCATGGATTGGGTATTAGATGACACTGTGGAATGACTGTTAATTTCCTGGAGGTGGCAGTTGTCTCAGGAGTTGTGTAAGAGACTGTCCTTACTCCGAGGAAATGCTGTTTGCAAACACAGCTAGGAGTCAAGTATCACAGTGGCCATGATTCTGTGTCAGAATTTTGGCTACAATGTATGTACGTGTGAGGAGAGAGACACAGAGACAGACAAAGACCCAGAAGGAACGCACGTGTATCAGAAAGCCCACAGCTGTTGACTCTAGGTGGATGGTTTAAGGGTGATCATTGTCCTACTGTTTCAACTTTTGTGTCTGCTTGAAAATTGCTGTAACAAAACATTGGGGGAGGTTATTTGTAGCTAATGTTTTATGTTCCCTGTTCTCTAGAACCCCATTTCTGCCCCCTGAAAGCCTTTGTTTTTCTGTTTTGCAGTTCGGGACCGAGTCAGGTCGAAGATGGAGAGAGATATTTTGGCAGAAGTGAATCACCCTTTCATTGTAAAGCTTCATTATGGTAAATAGAGTAAAACATAACCTACTTTTGAGAGGACCTAAGCAACCTTCCCCAAATCCAAGGAAAGTGAAACAGCACTGGGTCAGGAGAAGAGCCCTCCCTGTCACGGGGCCTGGCCTGTAGGGTGTGGGGCTGTCTTCCCTCTGCAGCCCCATGATCTCTTCTGCATTTTTCCGCTCTGAGGGAGCAAGATGCCCTGTTTTAACCAGAGACTAAAGTGAGGGGGCTGTACTTTGCTACTAATTAAATTATCATCATTGATAAAGTAGTAAAAAAATAAATAAAAGGTCTCTTGGCCTAGATTGGGGTGAATCTGTGACATATTTTTGTGTTGTTTTAGAAGAAAATGCTTTATGACCCAGTAATTGCTTTAACCAGAATGGCATCACCTTCTCTATTTTAAGTGAATACTATGTTTCAGGCATTTTAAAGAGAGTAGCTCATTGAACCCTCAAAACTTTCAAGGGAGGTTACTGTTTCTGTTTCCTGGAAGAGAAATGAGACACAATCAAACAAGAGTGATTCTGGTGGCCGCATGCGTGCGGCACCCACAAACTCCTCTGAGTTCGCTTTCTATCGTTTCCCTCCTCGGGGAGGCAGTAAGTGAAATCTTCAAACTAAAAATAATGAACGAGAGGCGCCAGACGGCATTAACTCTTACTGCCCTACCGAATAATTAGTATGAGGGAACTATAGAAGAAGAAAAAAAACCCTACCTCGTTGGTTTCAAAGGCACCGGGTGTGGGGGTTCTCCGAGACATTTCCACGAGTCAGGACGAAGCAAAGGTGTAAGCCGTGCTCAGAGGTAGGAGGGCAGAGGCTTCTCGCTCTTTGCTGGTTACCTCCTGATATTTCTCAGAAAACACTTCAGTCTCGTGTAGAAAGTGTGTGGCTTATGCTTTCAAAGCCAGTAGGAGTGACGGTGGCTGTGAATTTGCTGGGAGGCTCGGTGGCCACAGGCAGGTGCCCGAGCTCTGTCCTGCTTCCGCCCAGGGAGGCCGACCCGACCTCCCCCTCTCACAGCTGCCTGTGACCCCACTGTCAGATCCAGTCCCATGTGTCACTTTAGCTGGTTTCCAGGGGGTTCTCTGAAGAAGAAGCAGCATCTTTCAAGGATTTCTAAATGTGTCTTCCATGTCAGCTCTGTGGCTGATCAAAAGATACTTGTTCTCCTTCTGCCTGTCAAGCCCTAGGAGAGAGGATTGAATCCATACTTCACTTTATATGAGTCTGACAAGGATTTTTTAGTGAGAGGCTGTTTCTGAAACCCTAACACGTATCATGTTTCTAGTATTTTCTTTTAGAAAATAAAAAGTTTTCAAGTAAGCAGGGATATCAGGACCCCCTGTAGCCACACTTCCTAGGTATGTAAGATAGATGCCAAGTGATAGATCATCAATCACATCGAACTGAGAATCAAGAGTCAATGGTGATTGGTTTCTCTTAACCCTCACATGCACACTCAGCCCCCTTTGGAGCAAGGCACGCCTGGCTAAATGGTGGGCAAGACCGGAAGTATAAACAGCAGGCCCATAATCATAGTTCATGGTGATCAAACCTAGAACATGGGCCCCATTTGCCATGATGTACGATGCATGGGGCCGACCGGTCACCAACACCTCCATGAAAGAAGGGGTCAAATGATGGGTTGCCTTGACCTGGAGCTGTACAGAATGCAGCTCCATGAAGGAAAGGAGGCTTGCCCACACCGGGTCAGAGCCATCATCCGGCTCCTCACCAAACACCTCACCGTGGTGCCCAGAGCCCAGCATGGGTAGTGGTGATAGTGAGACCAGGTTGGAACCTGCAGATATGGGCCTCCATGTATTTTCCATCCCCTCTGTGATTAAAAAAGGAAGGGGGGACCAAAGGAGAGGAGAAGAAAGAAGAGAGGTGACCCTCTGGACCCTTAATAAAAGTGGGGGACACAGACAGACTCATTCCTGCCGACCCTTTCCTGGAGTTCCACCCCGACAAGGCCCTGCCCCCTCTCCCCCGCAGCCCGGCTCCAGCCCTGTTTCTGGAACGTCCGGCACTGCAGCCCGCTTGTGTTCTCAGACCCCTGGGATGCCAACCCTCTCTCCTTCCACAGCCTTTCAGACGGAAGGAAAGCTCTACCTGATCCTGGACTTCCTGCGGGGAGGGGACCTCTTCAGCCGGCTCTCCAAAGAGGTACGCGGGGCAAAGAAGGCTGGCGAGCTCTCGAGGGAGGTCTGTGTGTGGTGTGCGTGCTGCAATTGTGTACAAATGGGGTGCATGCTCTCGGTATGTGTGAGGATGTGTGTGTCTGTCAGCGTGTGCGCTGTGGGGTTTACATGGTGTGTGTGGGATGTGTGTGCATGTGAACATGTGTGTGTGTGTGCATGAATGTGTGCATCTGTTTTAAAGAAGTCACACAAGTGATACAGAGAAGTGATCTGTTGTCCTTGAAAGATCATAAGCAAACAGGTGCTTTCGGGCGCCGGGAAGCGCGCCGACCCCCGTGGGGAGCAGACGAAAGCAGAGGTGGGTTTAGAGAGGCAGCTGGGGGACTGTTTCCCAGTATCTCACCTTCCGTCGTGGGAAGGCGCTGGGAGCACGCTGCCCACACGTCCCGGGAGGTGCTTCCGGAGCATCTAGTCGGGTCTTCCCGCGGGAGGGGAGGTCTCCGTGACCACTTCAAGCCCGGGCCTTGTCCTTGACCCCACAGTCCTGATATGGGAATTGTCCAGACTGTCACCCAGGGCAACACGACAGCTCTCTGGGCCCTAATCGATGTGAAGAGCTCTCTGCTTCACGGTGTGGAGGAAACCAGCCTTCTTCCTGCCTGAGGCAACAACAGCACTAGGCTTAAATCCCAGCGGCTCTGAGCCGTTCCTTCACACGGAGCCGACGGTGATGAAGGCAGCCACGCGTTGGACGGCACCTCGCCCAGGTCTCCAGTCCCTCCGGTGCCGCCTTCCCCAGCACAGCCAGGGTGATTTAACTGGGACGGTGTGTTCAGACTGCCCTCTCCCCTTCTCTCTCCCTCCCACTTTTTGGCCAGGAGACCCTTCAATCCTGCATGGACCTCCAAAGTGAGCAACAGATCAAAGTGGAGCAGGAGGGGGGTCCCAGGGCCTGCGGGCTGCTCTCTCCCTCAGACAACGCACAGCTGATGCAGTGAGCTCCTTTTATACAGGCTGAAAGCCCAGGGCTGGAGGACTCCGATCCCACTTCCACAACCAGCCGTTCTGGAGCAGGTGTCTGTCTGGTCCCTGCTTGTGCTCACATGTTCCCAGAGGGCAGAACTACCAGCATCTGCCCGTCTGCCGCCTGCTAAGTACTGATTTCCCTTCCCTCTCAGACCACGTGGGGTTTAGTTTCGTCCAGTGTCTGGCACCACACACCCTGTCACAGGTTTCTTGACCAAATGGCAGCAGTAGTTAGCAAAAAGCCCTATGGGACCTCCCGAGGGGAACGCGGGTCCCCCCGACACCTTTATTTCAGAGTAAAGGTAAAGTCATCAAGTGTGGGCACAGCAGATTCTCAGAAACGACGTGGGACAGTATCCTCCTCCCGTCCTCTCTTTCAACAAGGCCGTTGGACAGCATTCTGCCGTGTGTGGGTCACCGTCCTGACTTCCTTCAAGGATGCACCTCATGGGCTGTTTCACTTCTGCACACTCTGTCACTTGGACTTGGGGATTATCCTGAGATTTGCCCTAAGAACTGGACAAGTGGATAAATACGGTTGCACTCTGAGCACGGACCTGCAGAGAAGCCGTGGTGGTTATCCAGAGAGAAAAAGTCAGATTCGAGAGAATATGACAGCTAGCAGAATCGGACTAAAAGTTAGCCCACAGACTATGTTGACCAATTTAGAAAAGAAACGCCCAGCCAGGAAGGGCGCCTGTTGAGCACGGGAGAGAGAACAGGAGGTTCCAAAGGCCAGAAGGGCCATGAGGGTTGACACCTCCCAGAGGTGACCGCCCAGGACCACAGGGCGTGAGTCCCGGCGCCGATGGGAAGTGCCCCTTCTGTGGAATGGATGGGCCCCACCTGTGCCAGCCTGACGTGGTCACCATCCTCTTCCCCAACGGCCCTTATTCTAACTCTGTGCATCCCAGGCAGCCCGCTGAGTCTGTATTGATTCTTCCTGTGTCTGTGTTCAGAGAGAGAATTCAGTCATCATACACAGTTCCAATGTCGGTGACATTGATTTCTCATGGTGAATGTAAAAACTGGTTTGTGCTAACAAATCTGCCTTTCTAGAGGGTGACTTTAAATATTACACGCTGATTCTAACAAGCGCGGGAGGAATGGAAACGTCCCCCAGACGATGGCTTTGAAGGGTGCTGGGCGCCTGGCCTGGTGAATGCGTCAGCTCGCCTGAACCAGGATGCCTGACTCGTGGACCCTGATGCCCACGGGTCCCTCTCAGCCAGCCTCCCCTGGCCCGGGTGCCTCACGGACTCTACGCCCCGTACATGTTGTTTTTGCTAGAACTCGGCCCACTTTGGGTAGATGGAAGGGAGTGGGGACGAGATCCCGGATACGTTCTCAGTAGCCCTTCCTCAGCCCTTCGGGGTGTTGCTTCACATCCAAACTGCTCATATTAAAATATCAAGCCCAGAGCTCCGTGATTCCTGGAGGCGAGGAGGAGGAGGAGACTAAGTGCTCCACTTCCGGGCTAATTAACCATCTTTGTAGGGAACTGCTCTTCTGCCTTCACTGATCTCCAGACTAGAAAGAGAGCTCATTTTTCCATTGTGAGAGCCAGCAGAGTGTTACGGGGGAGGGGAGCCTGTGATCTTCCGCAGAGCAGGACTGAGCCCAGTGCACTTTGCGGGGCTGACTCATGATGTTCTCTGGCAGAGCTCTTCAAAACAAACCAGCCACAGAATAAGCCAGACAATCTTGTTCTCGCTTCCTAGGTGATGTTCACCGAGGAGGATGTCAAGTTCTACCTGGCTGAGCTGGCCCTGGCTTTAGACCACCTCCACGGCCTGGGGATCATCTACAGAGACCTGAAGCCTGAGAAGTAAGTGAGGACGTGGTAGGACACCGCCTCCACACCGCCCTTCTTGCTGCCCCTGCTGGGAGCCGCTGCTCTCTCTGATTCCCACGTGGGTGCACAGCAGGGAGTAGGCTGGGGCCATCCTGCTGCGGGCACCCCCCACGCGGGTTCCACCCGCCCGCCCCTGACACCGTGCCCAAACAGGCGTGGCTGATGCTGATTGGTACAGGCCGTTCCCGGCAGCGCCTCTCACCCGATCCTCGTAACAACGCTCTGGCGGAGGCCGGGCCGGGGCCCCTGTCCCTGCTGTTCGGGTAAGGCTGGGCAGGGAGGGGGTTCCTGCCGCACAGCTGCCCCCTCTCCCGCCGTGGGGAACTCCTCAGACGTGCACCCCGACGCTAGCTTGCCTCTCCACTCCGGTCCCTTTGGGGCCGTCCTCTGCAGAGCCAGGAAGCCTCCACGACTCCAGCAGGCCATTTCCAGGTGGCGAGTCAGACGAGCCTTCCGGAGAGTTTTTCTGAAAGACAGTAGCACCAGATTCCCCAGATCTTCCAATGAGCTTTTGCATGCCTTTGGTAAAGATCATCTGTAATATTTTAGGATATTTTAGCTATCCTCAATTGAAAGATTAAAGTCCCTCCAAAATCACAGTTTCCGTTTCAGGTTTTTTTCGTATATTCTGTGTAGAGCGGACACACAACAGTGGCCCACATGAAGAAGGAGGGATCTAGTGGGCGCTATTTTAGGTTCAGGAGGACCGCCTGGCCGTAGTCCCGAAGGCAAAGTCATGATTTTCTCACTCAGTATATTCACTGCCCCGTGAGACCATTCGATTCCACGCACCGAGGCCGAGGCCCACAACTGCCCGTGGTAGAGCCTGGTGGGACCCCCCAGCTTTGGGCACAAGGCAGCCCGTAGCCGTGGGCTGACTCATCGCCGAGGGCTCAGGAAGCGAGCTTCAGCCCGTGCTCCTCGGCCTTTCCTCTTTCATGGACACCGAGCTGAGGAAAAGACAGCTCCGCTCTGCTGCCATTTTTATTGGATGTGGTGGTCTTTTATGGGAAACGTCTGGGCAACGTTGTGCCCATACAGGAAGGAAAGTCCATTTGTCCCACACCAGTGGGACGCGCACATCTTGCATGGCTTTGGCATAACAACCCACAGTAGCTCGCTCCGGTTGAACATCACAAGCTGCACACCAGTAAATGTCTAGATGATCGCAAAAGGCCCTATTGTCAGCGTCCCCTCGGAGAGAACAGTATCCTATTAAGTACAGCTGCCTCCCTCAGCGAGCGCTCGCGTGAGGCAGATCCCAAAGCCATGAGCCCCGGGCACGTGTTGGGGCGTGCTCCCTGTTTCTCTCTCTCTTTAAAGGTCAAAGGGATCTTTACAGTTAAAAATAGTAATATTTAATCACAGAGTTGAAGAAAGAAGATTCTGTTGTCAAATAGAGTGAGTAGGGGATTCATCTGGAAAGCTGCTCATTTCCGGGCAAAGATTAAGTCTAACTGAAAAGCAAAGATGAAAACGTTCACCTCTTTCATGATAAACTGTCATCTTAATGATGCGCTGTAACATTTTCCTTCACATTTCAATAAAATAGTAGGTCTTTTTTTTTTAATCCCATGGCAGATGTTTTTAACTGTGGCAAGAAAAACAGTAGAAAGTGAGTGTCTCAGCCTTTGTAAGCGTGCAACACACACTCACATCTCCGTGCAGCCACCAGCGCTGTCCATCTTCCAGACTCTCTGCACCTCGCAAAACTGAAACCCTGTCCCCGTGAGATGCCCACTCCCCGCTGCACCACCCCTGCCCAGTACTGGCACCCTCCACCGTCTGCTTCTATGGCTCTGACTGCCCTAGGTCCCCCTTATAAGTGGAACGCACGTCTCCTCTGTGGTGCCCGGTTCACCGCACTTGGCTCCTTGTCCGCAGGTCCATCCATGTGCTCGCGTGGGTCAGGATGCCACTACTCTGCCTGCCTGTTGAGGCAGCCGGCCTTGCTTTGGTTCCTCGCCATTCTCTTCCTGGTCTCTTTAAGGCTGCCTGGTACCCCCCAGGAGCTGACGGGACAGGATTTAATTACAGCAAAAAAAAAAAAAAAAAAAAAAAGAAAGAAAGAAATGGAAGACTCGGAGCCCTGCAGAACCCTGAGGGCTGACAGCCTGGAAGAAGGGCTTCCTCGAGTGCTGGCCTGCATCCGCCCTCGCGGCTCACCCTCTGCCCTGCAGTGAGGAGCACCCTCCCCCGGCAGAGCTCGGAAGAGCAAGGCGGACGCTCCCTCTAGGCCAATGCTCCAGGTGTCAGGCTCTGGTGGGACAAAGACACCCAGTGGGATAGCACCTGTGATGAGGGGCAGCCTGCCGAGCCCCAAGCCTCCTTGATGCCGAGGCCCCAGGCATCCCGAGAGGCAGGGTGGTGCTCATAGAGGGGTGATGGGGAGAAATAGTGAGCCTCTGGCCGTTGAGAGCCTGCCTGGGCAGGGAAAAATCCAAGAGGCTCCAGATCTCCACAGGCCAAGGCAATCCTGGACCCTCTCAATCATGTTCTTCATGCGGGATGGTCTGAAGGGTTCCTGAACCTCACTGTGGGCTAAAGAAAGTCTTGAACCTGCAGGTCCCAGCTTTTGCCTGGTTAACCCCAAACACTGTTGATCTGAATCCACTGGTGACCCAGCAGAAGCTGCTGACTGGGGAAGCAGTAAATCCCGAAGCCCACATCTACACGTGGCAGGCGACCCCCGCGTGGGGACTGCTGCCCAGGCCGCCCTGCTGTGCCCCCCGAGGTCTGCACACCCCCCAGCTGAGCAGGCCTCCGGTAAAACATCTGTGTTCTCCCCTCTCTTTCAGCATCCTGCTGGACGAAGAGGGACACATCAAGATCACAGGTTTGTAGAGGACGGCAGTCTCCCGGTGACTTCACCTCAGCCCTGGTAAATGTGGGGAGCAGCTCAGAGCCAAAGCCCTCCTAGCACCAGCATTTGCTGGTGGTGTCTCTGATTTGGCTGAAGCTTTCATAGAGCTCACTTATGTTACGTTGGTGTGCGTCCTCACAGCCTCTAGAAATGCTCAAACTTTCCAGGTCCCCTTCCTTCCCTCTCTCCTGTCCAAAGAACCTTCCAGCACCTTCCCTGCAGACTCTCATCCCTGGCTGTCTGTTCAAGAATGATGATGCACAGTACTGATGTGGGGCAAATATCGGTGCTCTTCCGGGAGCACGTCCCCACACTCTGGTGCCCTCCTGCCTTCAGGGACCACGTGTGAATGCACATGGGAGCCTGCCTTCCTACTGAAACCTCACGCCCGTCCCGTTGCCACCCAGTTGGAGCGACCTGAAAACACACACCCCAGTTCCATGGCACGCATTGTATTAATTTCCCCTTCCTGGTATCACGGTCACCACAGACTGAGTGGCTTCCAGTAGCACACCTGCTCATCTTATCGTTCGGGGGGCTCCAGAGAGCCTGTTCTGCTGCCTTCTCCAGCTTCTAGGAGCTGCTGACATCCCTCGGCTTGTGGCCCCATCCTCCATCTTCACGGCCAGCAGCACGGCCTTCCCTGATCTCTGTGACTCTGCCCCCAAATCCACATAAGGGCTCTTGTGTCACCTGGCCCACCTGGAAAATCCAGGACAACCACCCCATCTCACGATCCTTGGCTCATCACTCCTGCAGGACCCCTTTGACCTGTGAGGTGACCTCCTCACAGGTTCTGGGGCTCTGGATGATGGCATCTCTGGGGGCCATTCCCCCACCAGCTGTCCTGCTGACCTGGTTCTGCCTCATGTCCATACACACCCATTCCTGCATGTCCACCAGTTTGCTCTTCCTGAACTAACACTCTCCTCTCCTCCCCTAGAAGCTTGTCCCTGCTCGGGGTGCCTGGTCGACCCCTGTTCTTACCTCAAAGCTTCTCTCAGCACCCCTTCTTCTCTACTCTGTGGCCCCCATGTGGTCACGCTGCCCCTCACTTGCTGGCCTGCATGCCACCATGCCCTGTCTTCTCAAGGGTGGGTTTACCCTGTCTTCATGGATCCCCAAGACTTGGTAGAGTGCACATAGTAACTGGCAATAAATATTGGTTAAATATTTTTACAGGCTTGTTAATGTTCAAAGTTCGATTTTTAAAAGTTCTCATGAACTTATATACCAGACCCTGATTACCCCTTTCAGCGAACCTTCAGCCCACCCATTCCTGACCTGTAATGTTATGCCATCAGGGTCACGTGGCATGTGGTGGAGATTTACAGTTCTGTTAATACTTCAGACGTGTTCTCTGCCAAATGAGGAACTGAACGTACCCTATAAAAGTCACACTTGTGCCTTGTGCCTGGCAGCTGGAATGCATATGGAGCTACCGTGTCCAATTTATCTATAATATGACAGAGTTTGGGCTTTCTCTGATTTAATAATCATAGATTGTATTATTATTATTATTATTACTATTATTAATCATGACCCCAAGTTCATAATATGTGATAATTTGCCATTTGGGCCAGGCACAGATTACAAACAGCCCCCTCCCAGACTCTGATGTGTAAAGCAAGCCACTTTGCTGCGAGTGAGCAAACCCACCCGTGGGTGTTTGATGTTCTCACTCAGCACGTGGCCCTGGACGGAACTGATGGATATTATCCTTCTTCTCAAACATGCTGAAACCGAAGGGGTGCCCTCATCTTAGAAGCAATGTGTTCCCTGTGTCCTTCAGTCACTAAGTGCATGAACACACAAGCTTTGGAAGAAGGTAGAATGGACTGAGGATTTCTTGGAGGAGGGAGAGGGGAAGCGCTCACGGCAAATGCTCCACAGTCCTTATCAGACTCGCCTGTCTTCCCTTTGTGCCTCACCTCCAGGGACCTCCTTCCCCAGTAGCCTTCTGCCTGGACCTCTCTTCCAGCCCTTTCCTTCAGGGCTACCCCTCCCCTCCCATCTCATCCCAGCCCCGGGACCTGGAGCATCAGCATGCCCGGGCCACCTGCTGTGCCTCGTAAACAGCAGGGCTCCTGGGACTTCTCCTGTCTCGGCGAAATACAGCTTCTCGATACTGTTACCAGGCCCCCCAGGCTTTGTAGATTCCTGAAAGACCTTGAGCTGGGGAACGTACCACGCGGGGGCGTGAGGACACTTGCTTCCGAGGGGGGTGCCGTGGCCGGGACAGAGCGGGTTGAAGTCCCATAAATGACGCGGAAGCTCGCGGGTTGGGGGTCAGCATGGAAAGAGTCCTGGTGCCTCTCCGACTGAGGCAGTGCCGTGTGCTCTTTCACTTTCAGATTTTGGGCTGAGTAAAGAGGCCATCGACCATGACAAGAGAGCTTACTCTTTCTGCGGGACGATAGAGTACATGGCGCCCGAGGTGGTGAACCGGCGGGGACACACGCAGAGCGCCGACTGGTGGTCCTTCGGCGTGCTCATGGTAATGGTCCTCCCCAGTCCGCGGTGGCATCCCTTGTCGCTGATCCCCAGCACTCGGTCCCATCCCCAGGTTGGCTCAGAGGTCCAGGAATGAGCAGGGGAAACAGTGCTTGAAATGTGGATAGGCAGTGTGTCCCCAGGTGACCCACGGACAAGGAGGCCACCATTTCCTGCAACCTCCTCCTCTGCCCATCCCAAATTCCCACCCCCAGCAAACAGAACTGGGATTCAGATAAGGACACAAATGCATTTAGAATCAAACCTTCTTTATACTTAACATTTTTACAGGCTGAGCATGAAGATTTTAAGGGATGTGGTGATTTTCATATTAAAGACATTTCTCTTATGTCAAACACAAAATCCTTCTACTTAGTTACAAAAATAACATGAGCCAAGGGCCTGGGTGGCTCAGATGGTTAAACGTCTGCCTTCGGCTCAGGTCATGATCCCAGGGTCCTGGGATTGAGCCCCATGTCCAGCTCCCTACTCCTTGGGAGCCTGCTTCTCCCTCTGCCTCTCTCTCTCTGTCTCTCATGAATAAATAAATAAAATCTTTAAAAAAAAATTAACATGAGCCAAAATACACATGGACTGAGATGTTTTTACATCTACATCAAGAAACTTGAATTTTCTTTAGCTCATGCATGTTCACAGACAGAGCGCAGACCCAGACACCACCTGGCCTGGGGGATTCTGTAGTCAGAGAAGTGGTGTTGGCTCCCTGTCCCCAGATGGTCCTTCCTCTCCCTTCCTCCTACCCTGTCCCTCCGCCCATCCTCCCAGCCAGCACTGTGCCTGTGGCCTTCCATGCTGCCCGTGCCCTCAGCCCAGATCGGACTTCTGACGCTATGGAAGGTCACTCAGCTGGTGTGAGGCCCAGCCCTGTGCATCCCCAGCCCAGCTCCCGTACATCCCCAGCCCAGCTCCTGTACATCCCCAGCCCAGCTCCCATGCATCCCAAGCCCAGCTCCGTGTGTCCCCAGCCCAACTCCTGTGCATCCCCAGCCCAACTCCTGTGCATCCCCAGCCCAGCTCCCTGCATCCCCAGCCCAGTTCCCGTGCATCTCCAGCCCAGCTCCCATGCATCCCCAGCCTCAGCTCCTATGCATCCCCAGCCCAGGTCCCTGCGTCCCCAGCCCAGGTCCTGTGTGTCCCCAGCCCAGCTCCCGTGCATCCCCAGCCCAGCTCCATGTGTCCCAAGCCCAGCTTCTGTGTGTCCAGGCCACCTGCCTTGCCACCACACCACTTGCCTCACTTCCTGGCTGCAGAGCCCCTGGGCCATGTCTGGAGGTGGGGTTCAGAGGTGTCTCCTGGGGAACCTTAGCTTGGCTCTGTCTTGTGTCTTCTTTGCACTTTGACAAGTTGCTGTTATGAGTCTGTCATCTTATGTTGTGATTCCCCCCTCGGAGTGTCTCCCCAGCACGCGGCATTTCCTCAGCACCCCCATGACCTTCTGCGTGGACTCCCATCACAGACAGCAGCAGCCATGCTCAGTGAGCTCTGTGCCCCATGGGGGTGACACCGCTGTGGGCTCCCCAGCCTAACCTCCACCTGGGGTCCCCTGCCCTTCCTTGTCCCGAAGCTATAGGAATGCTCTGGAGTTTGGGGAATATCATAGAGGTTGGTTCTTGGCTTCTCTAAAGGAGACCTGGTTCCAGCTACCGTCTGGCATCATTGACACACCAGGGACTGTGGGTACTGGGCATTGCTTTGAATTGGTGGCATCATTTCAGTCGAAAGGACCCCGCATTCGGTGTCTCACGGCAGCTGGTTCTAGCACGGCTGTTTTGCTCAGTGGCAGGAAGCAGGAGGGGCTGTCAACGACAACAGAGTACGTCTCGTGGCTCTGAGTTTGGGAGGCACCGCGCATTTCACCTGAACCAAAAAATCTCCACGTTACGTGGGAAAGATATCGTTCTTTCTGGTTACAGAAGTGGAAATAAAGCTCTTCGGTGATTGGTTTAAGATCACATCATTGTTCTAAAGCCACATTCTCATTTCGTCCTGCCCACCAAACCCTTTGGCCCCAAGTGGCAACCAGCTTGCAGCCAGATGTCAGGATCCTTGCGTTCAGCACTTCCTTGGGCAACACCAGGAATGACTTCCAAATTGCCATTTGCAATAGAAGGATGGGTCTGGTGTGGCATTTAGTGTCGTGTCTGAGCTCGGCTTCGGGAAGAGGTCAGTTGAGGGCATGTTGTGTTTACAAGGTGCCCTGCCCCGGCTTTGTTAAAGAGGGGGCAGAGCCATGGAGGGAGGGCCCGAGGAACGGTCTGCACCCTGGAGGGGCTTACTGCCCATCCCTTGCGTTTCTCCACTGAGGAACTACACCCGTGTCCTCTCATGGTCCCCAAGTGCCCTCCAGAGAGCCCATATGAAGACACCTACATTCATGGTGGAGATCCTTGTCCTTGAACAGAATCGAATGTCTGAAGTTAGGTATTGTAACTGGAAAAGAACGTGAGCCGTAGTGATGGTGTCCGTTGCAATGGTAGGTCCCTAACATCTCCACACTCGTCTGGAACTCAGTCTTCAGGAGGAGTTGGGGTTGTGTTTTGTGGGTGCTTCAGAAACATCTCCTGAATGCCAGGTCACCTGTGAGACCACCTGAGATTCTTCTCCCATTCTTTGCCAGCACTAAACGTGTGTGGATGTTCACACACAGGTATCTGTGTAAATTGTTTGTACACGGATACACACATATCGCTGGCTCAGGGCTCAGGCGCCGCCCCTGGGAAAGGAGACAAGGACACGAGGCTTCCTCCTGAGGCTGCTGAGAGGAGCAGGTCAGCATCGACCTTCGAGTGCTCAGAGCAGGGGTGGTGCACAGTGAGGTGGGGACTCGTCTGTGCCCCAAGCACCCTGACACCTCTGCACAAACATAAATACACCTGGTGAGCAAAATCCAGCCCTGCGCACCCGGCCCCGGGGACTGCTGCCATCTCAAACGGTCCATTTCGTTGTAGGATTTGTGCTTGTCTGTTTTCAGATTAAGATGTAACTTGCTCTTGAGTTCTTTTGTAAGAATGTCGATCGACCGAATGAACTTGAATTGTAGGCTCCCTGCTATGAAGTGTCCCCCTTGCAGAGAAGCTTCTCATTCCACTGCTCGCAGCACCGCTGGGGCTCCTCCTGTGTCAGTGCCCCGGGGCTGGCCACTCGCTTCAGGCTCATTGCGTGTCCCTTTAGACAGGGCTTTCAACTGTTGAGGTTTGGGGCTGGACAGCTCTTTGGGTGGAGGCTGTCCTATGCATTGTAGGATGGGAAATGGCGTCCCTCCCTCTACTCAGTAAACGTCACTGGCACCAACCCGACCAACCTCTCCAGTCCTGACCATCAGAACTGTCCCCAGACACATCAGAATATTTATCTTCCTGGAAATTTCATAAGCACTCACAGTGAAGCTATACCCCAGTCTCTTCGGGTTCCCTCTGCACATTTCCACGGCCGACCTCGGAACTTCCTTGTGAATGCATCCCTTGGGGTACCCCCAGCACTTGTGCTGGACTATGAGACCCCACGGCAAACCATGGTTTGTATTCATTTGCCCTGGAAACCTTGGCCAGTCTCAGTCTTGTTCAACACCAGACCAAAACTCCTACTATATGTAATGTCCTGGGAAAGCTCATCAGAAATGCCCTGATTTAATGAGATACTTAAATACTGAGAAATTTCTTGATGAGAACAGTAATACCGAAATGACCTCCTTTGTCCCCGTGTGATAGAAAGGGAACCCTTAAAGGGGCTGGAAGTGAAGCCAAAGCAGAGAGACATGTGTGGGTTGGGAAAATACATAGCTTCGCCATCATCACCACCACCATCATCATCTTCATTCATTGAACACCCACGTACGCCACTGTGTTGGGTGTTCCTAAACGGTTCAGGATTTCCCACTGTGTTGCATGGGGAAGAACAATGTAGGAGGAAGACAAGCAGGCTGGAGGGAGAGAAACACAAAGAATGTGGCTCCTGGGAGTCATAGTCAAAGCTAAGAAGTAATCACTAGGCAGATGTGTGCAAGTTGCTGGTTGATTCGTAATAGATAGTTACATGATGCACAGACTTTAGGATGGGCTCCATTTTTGTAGCAATGACTAATAGCTTTCTGGTTTCACGTGGCCTAAAAGGCGTTTCCTTGAAATTGAATTTCATTCATAGTAGACTCAAGAAAGAAAGGAGGGAGGGGGAAAAAAGATAGAACCAAAATAGGAAGAGCATTTTCTTTGCTAATACGATTCTATTTTAAGACCTATTTTAACTTCCAAGATCAACTTATAAACTTTCCTCCTATTTTATCAGATGGACAGCTCATCTGCCAGAGCACTCTACCTTTCAATTTAGTTGTTTGTCCACTTTCAGATTCTCTCGGGGACTCTCTTACTCCCAGTTTTTATGACTTACATCTTGACTGGTTGCCTGCAGTCTGTTCTGTGTGCCCGCACCAAACGCGTGAGCACGGGACAGACAGCAGGTGGTGGTTAGTATGGTAGAAGAGCCTTCAAACATCACAACAGGCAGGACTTTTTAAATTTCTTTTAAAATTTTACTTTCAGAAAGCAAGCCAAGAGTATTAATAAAGGCTTAACTACATTCATTTCATTAAGTTTGTAATTTCATTCCTGGTAGCTCACCATCAGGGTAACTCCAAATCTTAGGGAAGCTTTTATGTACATTTCAGTATTACTTATAAGAGCAGGAAATTGGAAATGCTCTAAGTGCCCAACAACAAATAAACATATTTTGGCATATCCACATATAAAGTGATATTATGAAGATTTTATAATCAGCATGGAAGTTTTTATCTTATTCTGTGAAAGGTGAATATGTAAAACCATATTTTTTTAAAAAAAAAAAACAGCTTCAAGAAAGTACTAGAAGAAAATAACAAATGTTAATTCCATCTTTCTTTGAATAATGGGGTTATGGGTGATTGTTTTGGTCTTTCTACTTTGATGTATTTCCCAAGATTTTCATAATGCAGAGGAAAAATACTATAGGATAAATTTTAAAGGGACAGAGACACGCCATCAAAATCAAAACTAAGGCAAATTTAATAAGATCATACAAAGTCCTGCACTGAGGCTGTTTTCTTATACAGTAGACCTTTGAACAACATGGGGATAAGGGGCGCTGACCCGAAGGTCGTCGAAAATCCACATGTAACTTTTGACTCCCCTCAGAATTAACTGGTAATAGCCTGGTGTTGACCAGAAGCCTTACGATAACATAAACAGTATATTAATCCACATTTTGTACATGATATGTACCACATACCGTATTCTTACAATAAAGTAAGCTTGAGAAAAGAAAGGGTTATTAAGAAAATCGTAAGAGAAAATGCATTTACAGAATAGTACTGTATGTATTGGGAGAAGACCCATGTATGTAGTGGGTACCTCACACCCTTGCTGTTCACCCCTGTGTCATTCAAGGCTCAACAGTAATTTGAAATGACACGCAGACACGGCCCGGGACGGATGCTGTGGCCCATTTCAGTTAGATTCGGTGTCCTGTGTTAAAGGACAGGCTGCTGCCCTAGGTGCTTTCTTCCGAACGAGTCTGAGTGCACGTTGTGGTGGGGATGCCGTGCGATTGCAGGCCCTGCCTCCTGAGCCCGCATCGTCAGGGCTTTTGTGTGAGAGAGAAATCCTTGCTCGGGGAAGGCTGACCCTCAATCCTGTCTTTATCACAGAGCCCATCCTGGCAAAGGTCCACTTACTATTTCTGGTGTGTGTCAGCCCGTATTGGAAACATTATTGGTGCCATCGTGTTTTCACCAGATGTTACGGATGGACTGAAGTCATTCCGCCCTGGTCCCCTCCACAGCACCCACCAGAGAAGGACGGGTCCTCAACCAACCCCATAGAAGCTGTGCAGCCCGACCGCCGTCCCTTCACGTCCCCCTTCACATCTCCACCACACTCAGCCCCTCTTACCCACTGCAGACTTCCGGTGTTTGTCTCTTGTCTGCCTCCCCACTGAACTGTGAGCTCCATGAGGCCGTTCTGGTCGCTCATGTACACAGTGCATGCTGGCCAGCATCTAGGCGTCATGCATCAGGATTTGGAATGGATTAATGAACGTGGTTGCATTTTGCCCATCCAGGCTCTCTGCTGTTACATCTGGTCAGTCTGAACACTCACTCTCCCTGTTCTGTGTTGCTCTGCAGTTTGAGATGCTCACGGGATCTCTGCCATTCCAGGGGAAGGACAGGAAGGAGACCATGGCCCTCATCCTCAAGTGAGTATGAAACACTTACCCTTGGGCATCCGTCCTGTACTCCTTAGCACCTTCTGATAGCAAGAGCTTCCATCTTGGAAACCCAGATCATTGAGTAGGCATTAGCAATAACCATAAGAAGCATTTTGGCATTTTAATTACAGTGGGTAGAGTGAATGGATCGCTGAGTGACCCTGATGGAGTCTTCCACCACAGATGACATTGGAAAATTGCATATGTTGCCCAATGACAGGGATTTTAGAAATGGTGATTAGTGACCATCACAAACAAAGTACAGATTCAGAAGGGCAGAAGGATTTAGGGGCTCTAGAGAGAACGCAAGAGGAGGGGTCCCCTTTCTTTCTCTACCTCTTGACCCCATTTGTGCAGGCGCCCAAGCTCTCCTGCCTGACGTTGGCAGGAATCATGTTGCCCATGAGATTGAATACAAACAAATTTTCTGTTCAATTCTCAGGAAGAATCATTTACCATGCAAATGGATTTTGCTCTTAGGATCCTAGAAAGAAGTCTAAACCCAGTGCTGGTCTTGCTATAACACCTTACATGTGAGCAGGCTCCATCTAAGCATGATGTCAGAAGGGAGAGATCTGGGAGGAATGTGGATGGGAGTAGGGCAGCGGCTGGGGAACAGGTAGACCCCAACTCCAAATCGAGGTCCCCCTACTGTGCGAGGACATGGACTCCTGCCCCTGAAGGACAAGCCATAAAGCTGCTGGTGCTCATGACCGGCTCTCTCAACACTGCAGATGGACTTTTATAAAAGTGAAAGGAACCTAAAAAGCTTAAGTTTTCGTAGGTTACCCCATTGTATAAATGGAAGGATAGAAATTAGTGGAGGAAACCCATAGAGAGGATTTGAGCAGTGTCTTCCGGCATCAGGTGACCTTCATTGTGGCTGACCTATGTGGCTGCAGTCTGTTATTTTGTGTTGGTTATCTCTGTTTCTCTTAATTTTAAGGGGGAGCAAGATCTTTACTTTTTCTAAAACTAGAATAATTCCCTCCAGCTAATCCTAGGTGTGGACTTCTGAATGGGCAGCACCAAACTGTGGTCCGATGGATCCTAAAGCATCATCTGAGGACCCCTGGGGGTCTGAGACCCTCCTGGGCCCTTGCAAGCTCCTCCTTTCCCTGATTTTTTTTTTTTTTGCAGTTATTTAGATAAGTTAGATTACTGGATTTTATTTTATTTATTTTTCATCCTGATAAGTACCTCTTTAATCCCCTTCACCTATTTCCCCCATGCCCCCACCCACCTCCCGTCTGGTAACCATCAGTTTGTCCTCTATAGTTAAGAGTCTGTTTCTTGGTTTGTCTCTCTCTCTCTCTCTCTCTCTCTCTCTCTTTTTCTTTGCTCATTTGTTTCATTTCTTAAATTCTACATACAAGTGAAATCATATAGTATTTATCTTTCTCTGACTTATCTCACTCAGCATAATACTCTCTAGCACCATCTAAGTCTTTGCAAATGGCAAGATTTCATTCTTTTTTATGGCTAAGTAATATTCTGTTGTATATATAGACCACATCTTCTATATCCATTCATCAGTCAATGGACACTTGGGCTGCTTCCATAGTTTGGCTACTACTGTAAACATAGGGGTATATGCATCCCTTTGAATTAGTGTTTTTGTATTCTTTGGGTAAATACCTAGTAGTGTCATTGTTGGATCATAGGGCAGTTCTATTTTTAACTTTCTGAGGAACCTCCATACTGTTTTCTAAAGTGGCTGGACCAGTTTGCATTCCCACCAACAGTGTAAGAGGGTTCCCCTTTCTCCACATCCTCCACATCCTTGCCAACACTTGTTGTTTCTTATGTTTTGGGTTTTAGTCTTTCTGACAGGTGTGAGGTGACATCTCATTGCAGTTTTGATTTCATTTCCCTGATGATGAGTGATGTTGAGCATTTTTTCATGTGTCTGTCCACCATCTGGGTTTCTTCTTTGGAGAAATGTCTGTTCATATCTTCTGCCCATTTTTTAAATTGGATTATTTGTTTAGGAGGATGTTGAGTTGTATCTGTTCTTTATATATTTTGGATACTAACCCTTTATCAGCTATGTCAATTAAAGATGTCTTCTCCCATTCAGTAGTTTGCCTTTTAGCTTTGTTGATTCTCTCCTTCACTGTGCAGAAGATTTTTATTTTGAGGTAGTCCCAATAGTTTATTTTTGCTTTTATTTCCCTTGCCTTAGGAGACACATCTAGGGCCAATGTAAGACCTTACTGCCTGTGTTCTCTTCAAGGATTTTTATGGTTTCAGGTCTTACATTTAGGTCTTTCATCCATTTTGAGTTTATTTTTGTGTATGGTATAAGAAAATGGTCAAGTTTCATTCTTCTGCATGGTGCTGTCCAGTTTTCCCCACACCATTTGTTGAAGAGACTGTCTTTTTCCTATTGGATATTCTTTCCTGCTTTGTCGAAGATTAATTGACCATGTAATTGGGGGTTTACTTCTGGGTTTTCTGTTCCACTGATCTATGAGTCTATTTTTGTGCCAGTGCCATCCTGTCTTGATCACTACTGCTTTGTAATATAACTTGAAATCTGGAACTGTGATGTCTCCAGCTTTGTTCTTCTTTTAAAAGACTGTTTTGGCAATGTGAGGTCTTTTTTGGTTCCACACAAATTTTAGGATTATTTGTTCTATTCTGTGAAGTCCCAGATTTTCTTCATAGTATGGCAACATATTGAACATAGAGGCAAGATAAGAGGATCTGGCTGTCGGGGCGCCTGGGTGGCTCAGTTGGTTGAATGGTGGACTCTTTGGTTTTGGCTCAGGTCATGATCTCAGGGTCCTGGGCTTAAGTGCTGACCGGGCTCTGCACTCAGTGCTGAATCTGCTAAAGTTTCTCTCTCCCTCTCCCTCTGCCCCTCTCTGTCCCCCATGCACATGCATGCTCCCTCTCTCTCTCTCACTCAAATAAATAAATCAATCTTTAAAAAAAAAAAAAAAAGGTATCTGGCTGTCTCTCATCTAACCCAGAAGAGACTCCCAAAATATAAACAATAGCACTCTTCTAGCCAAAGCCTTTGTTGTTATTTTGGAAAACATAATTCAGTTCCATTAAAAATGTTACTTCTGTTCATGGGATTTTTATTGTTTATTTTTAATGTTTGTATTATTTGTAAGTGAATTATTAAATAGCTATTATAAAAATTTCTCCCGTAGAACCCACATAAACAATGTAGGTTAGGTTGCTGCCCTCAATGACTTCTAAAGTGCCCAAGAGCCCTAAGACCAAACAGTTTGGGCACTGCTGCTCTGGGTCACGTTGATTTGGTCTGTCTGTTGATGCTGACCGAGCAGGGTCCCAAAGTGCTGGAGAAAACTCTGGTCATCCTTCTCGTCCCAAACTACAACGCTGTTTTGCAGAGCCAAGCTGGGCATGCCACAGTTCCTCAGCATGGAAGCCCAGAGTCTGCTGAGAGCCCTCTTCAAACGGAACCCGTGCAACCGACTAGGTAAGAGCCCCACACACCCCGCGGACCACAGGGGCTGCCTGCGCACCCCGCTCCACTCTTGTCTGGCTACACATTTGTCCAAGTTCACTGAAAGCGAAGGTCCTGAAACAGGGGTGCAAATATTCTCCCGTGTCCCTGCGATAAGGTTCTCCAAAACACAGTCGCTGGCCAAGTCTTGTAAGCTGTTTTCTGAAAGTCAGTGTTTACACACAAAATGGTAGCACTTTTTCCTACTCATTTCACTTCCCTTTTAGAACCCCATAAACTAAGGACAGAAGAGCTGAAAGCTGCTTCTTATTTAATCCCTCTTAAATTAATAAATCTCAACATATATGAATATTAAGATTTACATGAATGTTACCTAAGTACTAATCCATTTTCAGAACAACTCTTTACAAAGGGTTTCCCCTAGTTGCTTTTCAGTGGTGCTTCTACAAATGAGTTGTCGTGTAGACCTCCCACAGGTCACACAGCTGCTGAATCGTCCTTGTCCTCTCGCGGGTTTTCATCCCTCATTGTCACGGGCACTGGCGCACGTGCCCAGCGTAGGGACGCGAGGTCGGTGACGAGGTGGCTCCATCAGGGCGGGAGCAGGTGCCCCACACAGTGCGGGCTGCATGGGGAGCTGGAGAACAATGAAACAAGGCGCCATGTTTCTGCCCATGCGGTGGCAAACACCACATAGCCGAACGGAAGGCGCGGGCCCTCCTATTCCCCGCCGTCGTTGCTGTCAAGACAGCAGGTGGTGCAACATTTTAACACTTTGGCAAAACCCATCAATATTTTAAACTGTACACAACCCTCTACCAAGAAATTTTACTTCTAGAAGTCTATCCAGCATGTAAGTTACATGTATAAAAAATGCTTGCTGGTAATCTTTCTGTTTAGCAAAGACCTGGAATCTCCCTCTCTCTCAAATAAATAAGTAAATAAATCTTTAAAAATATAGAAATAGAGGGGTGCCTGAGTGGCTCAGTTGTTAAGCGTCTGCCTTCGGCTCAGATCATGATCCCAGCCTCCTGGGATCGAGCCCCACATGAGGTTCTCTGCTGAGGGGAAGACTGCTTCCTCCCTCTCCCACTCCCCGTGCTTGTGTTCCCTCTCTTACTGTATCTCTCTCTGTCAAATAAATAAATAAAATCTTCAAAAAAATTAAAAATATATATATATAGAAATAGAAATAAATAAATAAGTGAGTTAAGCTGTCACCAGGTGTCTCCACCATGGCGCAGGTGACGTCCGGCTGGGTAGTTCTTTCTTGTGGAGGACCATCTTGCGCTGTAGGATGTCTAGCAGCATCCCTGCTCTCTCCCTAGATGCCTCCCTCCCCCTGCCGTAGCAAACCGAACTGTGTCTAGACTTGCCCCTGGGGACGATCCCCCCACCCACCCCCATGAGACCCACTGTTCTGTAAACCCTAGCTGGAGAGATGCCCAGGATCTAGCTAGTCGCATAGATGAGTTGCTACAGAGTCTAGACGCATCCCATGGTGGAACCTGTACCCATTTTATACCAGAGCAGGTGTCTGCAAGGGGATGTGGGGAGAGCCCCATGGGTCCAGCTCCCGACACCCACCTCACATAGGCCCCGGGATGGTATCTGTTAAGATGACTGTTGTCAAATGACACTGATTAAAACCAGTCAGTGTGATAACTGCCCCAAACAGAGCCCCAGAGGCCGGGCCCTAAAGGCAGGGATGGCTCACTCTAGCTAGAGGCCTCCCTGGACGGCAGCTCTGGGCACTGGGCTGCCAAGCCACCAGGGGCCAGTGGGACGGCAGGGAGCCTTGAGGTCCAGGATGGGGTGCACAGTGGTCTCCACAGTGGGTTTTGCACCATGCTGACATGCAGGGGCTGATGTGGCATATGTGGGTTTGGTTCGAGATCTGGAGGAACGTTGAGAGCTAAACAGAAGTTCCTCCATCTTGTTGTTACTGGGCACCTCAGCAAAGTCACAGATGGGACCTAAAGACACCAGCCAAGAGTCGTCATGGGCCCTCCTTGTCCTGGCTCTGACCGAGGCAAGGCCAGGGCCCCGATTCTGAGAGACACAGCTCCTGCAGGTGCCTGCATCACGCCCTTTCCTTGGGGACTCCCCTTACAGGGTCCCCAGCCGCATGTGCCTCCACAAACAGCAGCTCAGGAGAGCCAGAGAAGCCCGTCCTCTCTCCACATTGACGGTCTCCCTGTATCCGCCCCGGGGCCCCACCTGCAAGGCCCTCCTCTCACCGTGGAGCCACCCTGTCCTGTGGGTGGGGATCACGCGGACAGCGGGAGAACTTGGCCCCAGGAACACAGACGGGGAATAAAGGGCCTGCGTCTGCCCCTCCCTCCTGGAATTGCTGTGTTGTTGCACTTTTATCAGATCCCGTGTAGCCTGGCCTGGGGGCCTCCCCGAGAGAGCAGACCCTCCCCTTCATCGCTGTGCTTTCTGGGGAGGAGGTGGGCAGCACTTCTTAATGAGAGCGCATTTTAAGGCACAGAACCAAACAGTAAATGTGTCCCTCAGTTCAGTTCTAAAAGCCACACAAAGATCATAATTGTTTGCCTATTTCTGAGCTGACTCTCCTGATCATAAATTAATTATCTATCATTAATGTCTCCGTCCGTGTGGGACTAACACCAAGATAATCCCTCCCTGTCCAGGGCCAGCCTGCGGTGCAGCTTGGCCAGTCTTAACCCGCAGAGATTTGCTCGTGAGAGAGGTATATCCCAAAGAATTACTTTTAGTTGCAAAGTACAGAACACTTAAGTAACTTAAAATTATTTAACACAATTTAATTTTTCAAACTACAGTTTATTTTTCTTACAGTAACAAGTCACATGGCAGTAGAGGGTTGTAAGCATTGACTCAGCAGCTGAACCATAGTTATCAAAAGCCCAGATCTGCTTATCTTTTTAGTTTATCATCCTTAGTTCATTGCCTTTTCATCCTCATGAGTGGGGCCTTGTGATCACAAAGTGGCTGCCACAGCTCCAGGCATCACATTCAGTTGAAAGGAGGAAATGGATGAAGACAGCTGCATCTGTCTCTCTTATCAAGAAGGCAAAGCTTTCCCAAAACCCTGGGACTTCCCTGTACTTCCTGCTGACTAGAAACTGTCGCATGGCACTTCTAACTAAAAGGAAGGTGGGAAAACAAGGATTGGGATACAAGGAATAGGAGATTGGGAATGGTTGTCTTATTAGCCGGCCTCCAGGGTCGGCTGCAGAGGTCTTCAATAGAGGATGAGCCGACTTGAGGGAGGTTTGGTGCCTGGCCTGCCTTCCTCGAGTGCCTCCAACCCTATTTCTCACCCCTCTTGGCAGATCTTAAGGACCTGTTAGTTAGGAAGGAGAGGGACTGTATAGTATGTAATCTAGAAATAATACACACCTACATGGGGTTCTGCAGTGCTTTCTAGGATCTGGCTCTGGCGACAGAGTGGAGCAGAACCATGGTCCTCACTCTCACGGGGCCTTCAGAGCCACCAGAGAGATTAGCATTAGCCAAGGAAGTGGCAAACCGAGAAAGAGAGAGGTACATGGCAGAGCTCATCGGAAGGGAGAGAGGTTTGCTGGAACGTGGACAATGGCAAGTGTGAGCCAGGAGAAGGGGAGCTCGTGAGGAGCCCCAGGTGGAGGAGCACTGGGCAGAGGGGTGGAGGGCGGCAATGCCAGGCCGCATCCCGTCCAGCACTTACTTGCTGAGTGACCTCGAGCAGATGTATGCACCTCTCTGAGCCGGTTTCCCTGTCTGTGAACTGAGGGTGATGGCCGTGCCTACTTCATAGTGTGGTTAGAAAGACGTAAAGAGCTAGAACTGTGTCTGACACACAGGACGCAAGTCCATAAGAAGGCAGAGATAATGGGCGCACCCAGATCCGTGGTGGGGGATCGCATCTAGACCTCTTGGTCACGCTGCTTCCTACTAATTGGAATGTTTTCGTTCTCTGCCACGTGGTTGTGGGACAGAGTGGATAGAAGTTGTCTATGCGCAAGTACTGGTAAACTGCAACTCCAGTAGAAACGGAACAAACTGTGGTTTTATGGGATGCATTTCAGTTGATGTTGTTAAACCTTGTCCTGAGATCATTGCAAAAAAGAAAGAGTGTGACCTGTTTCTGGAGAGCCCGGCATTCCTTGGCAGGAAAGCATTCAGGTGACCTGCCGGGTCCCGAATTCAGCTGGAAGGAGGGCAGGGCCTCTCCAACCATGGAGAAGAGGAACTCCAGCCCTGTCGCCCTCAAAGGGCTCCTTCCACCGTGTTTCCCCAGTAACCTTGCCCACGGCTGAAACTTTTCTCTCGATGCCGAGTTTGTGCTGTGAAGATCTGTCCAGTCTCTGCCTTGTCATTCTTGGGTGCCAGCAGAAAATCTGGGCACGTTGTGAATTGTGCATGCGTGAGCACGCGTGAGGCGTGGCGCCTCCTCTCCCAGGACGCTTCCCTCTAGGACAAGCCCCGTCGGCCACCCGTCCACGCCCGTGGGAGCCTGGCTGTGAGTCTGACCTCCCCACAGGGAACCAGACTCAGAACAGAGAAATGAAGACATTGGACACATCCATTCACTGAAACACACACCAGAGAAGAAGCAATTCCGACTCGTCTCCTGCAGGAGCTGAGGAAGTCACTCTCCTTTCAAATATCCTTGCATTTGCTGGAGAGGATTTGTCACCATGCACCGGATGAATGTGACCAGGGGAGGGGCCGTGTTTGTTCTTCCTCGTTCTGGAAAAAGGAAATAATTTCCTTATATAACCTATTCCTTTGTCTTCGAATCTAATGTCACCAAAAATCATAGTTCTCGAACCCAAAATATCATTTTCTTATTTAGTTTAAGTCATTGATGAGCGAGAAAGATGGGATTATCTCATTAAGTGTATAGATGATCATCTTGGGAGAGACTGGCCCAGTGGAGCCCCCAGCAGGCGTGGACGTCGGCCCATCTGTGGCCGAAGACTGCCCTTCAGCTAATCTCTAAAGGGAATCATCATGCACCTCTCCAGGAGCTACTGGCCATC